GTTAATGTTTACATTATGATAAGTTAAACAGCTTTGTAGAAATAAAAGTTTGTAAATAATACTCACCCTTCCCCCCTTCTTTTTGGTTTGTTTTCACAGGCTCTAGAGACATTCAAATCAAGTTTCTATCATTACTCTTTGGCAGATTTTAGACGTGTGTTGCAGAGTTGCTGGAATTATTTCTAAAATTCACACTTAGAGAAAGTGATGATGTAGCCCAGCTTTTCATAGTTTAGACCTTTGCAGTTCAAACAAAAACTTTTGCTCTCAAGTAAATAATATGTTTAGTTGAGCAAAATCTGGATCACTGAGAGCATTATTGAGATTAAGTATCCACCTTTCTATTTCTTTCTTCCTTTGCCTGGTAAACCTAGTCTTGGTGGCTGTTAAAGTTTTGCGACCTAGTAGTACAACTGTGCTTTTGACTTGTAACGTAAAGGCAAATGTATTCTATTTTTCTATTTATATTTTTAAGTCTCCAGTGTTTTACTATGTGCTAAGTATTTTAAAATCTTCTTTAAAAAATGATATAATCCCCTGAAAGATTAACAGAGAGTATAAAAATACGGTTACCATTTTGCTCATTATTCTCAAGCTTATCCTGGACATGCTCTTATGTAGATAATGCACTTGCAAGTAAAAATTTTATTGTATTTAGTAAATGGAAAGTAAGCTAATTTATTTTTGGCAAGAATTTAGCTTGAATAAACATTCATTTTAAAATCCATTTGTAGCTGATCCTGAAATACTCAAGCAAAAATTTATATTCAGTGAGAGTTTCAGAATTAGTCTGAATAATGTTCTCTTTAATTGATGAAATTACGTTCAATATATTCATTGTATACTTAGTGAAAAAATATGGGAGAACTTATATTTTTAAAATTACTTCAATTTTGGAAGCAAATGACTTGTTATCATCTATTAGCATTCTAAGCATTAAGGAAACTAAGTATCAATTTATTTGTGTGTGTGTGTGTGTGTGTGTGTGTGTGTGTGTGTGTGTATGTGCATATATATAAATACCATATATGTTTTAGTGGAAATGCATCTGAGTAGTGATGCCAGCCACAGCTTCCAGTTCTCATTCTATAACATAATCTCTATAGTATAGTTCTCCTTTTTATAACCAACCATGCTTTCATGAGGCACACTGAATCTGCATATAGTGAGATTTCTGTTACGTTTGGACTGATTTCATAAGCAAGAGACTAATAACTGATCGAAGTTAGCCTATGTCTTTAGTCAGCAGGTATCTACTAAAGCAACATTGCCTGGATCTCTGGATAGCTATGAAATAAGAAAAAGGTCATTCACTGATTGGATCTATAAATTTATATGGAAGTCCACATATGATTATTTGAACCTTATCCAAAACTAATCCTAAATCAATTGATGACTTAGATATCAGACCACAAAGTCAATTTAAAGAAATTAAGTTAATCATATTGTGAGATAAACATTGCAAAATCATTCTTTCTTGTTTTCTTTCTCTCCTTGAGTAATTACATATCTCATATGTGCAAAAGTATGAACATGATTTATATCATAAATTCTCTCTATTTACACACACACATATTCCTGTATACCAATTGTGGTGCCATTAGTCTTTTATTTCATCATGATATTCATAGATCGATACGTGGAAAATACCTGAACTTAATAATGCTCAAAGTTGATATAAATGTACTATAATAAACTGCTTAATAACCATACCTAAAATCACTAGAGTCATCACAATTTAGAATTAAAAGGTATCAGCAAAATGTCCCCTCAATGTATAGGAGGCTGAGGCCCAACCTGAAAAAGTAATTTGATTGGGAGCACAGAATTCTTAGGAATATAATGTGCACTAGAGTCCAAATCATGGAATGCAGAGTCCAGTATTTTTTTTTTAATTTTATCATACTATCTTTAGGGAAAAAACTAAATTTCTGTAACTTTTTCCATATACATTTCAATTGCAACAGAAGTATGTTGAGATTTACTTACGTATTTATAACTATATATTTAGCTAT